GTCACGGTTAGAGTTAGGTTAGTGTTTATTAGGGTTAGTTAGGAATTGTTAGGGTTTGTTAGGGTTTGTTAGGATTATAGGGTTATTAAGGATTAGTTAGGGTTAGGTTTTAGCATATTAGGGGATGATACTGGTATCCCTCGGTATGAAATAAATATATTTCTTTATTAAAAATATTTTAATAGTAAATAATTGGTTAATTTCTCTATATGCAAAAAACCTGTATTATGAAAGATACTGTAACTTTCATCTTTATTTTATTGGTTTGTTAATTACTAACTAAGTCCCACCTTTTAAAATTTAGTTAAATTAAAACCATCGAAATCCGTCAAATGATCAGGGTTTCGACTTCTCCAAGTTGGTTTAGAGTTTTGCTCACAACCATAACAGACTATTTCTTTCGAATCAGGCTGTGAAAAAATGTAAGCCCATTTATTTTTTCTAATTTTCTTTTTTTTATTATTAATTAGTTATATTTTTTATGATCGTTTCTTAAAAGGTAGGTGATTACTCATTATTGTTTCGTTTCTTTTTCACTTTGCGTGCATTGATTAGAAAGATTTGTATTATTATTACGTTTTATTTCAATAAATAATAGTAAGCACATTTTTTATTTTAAGATTAGCGAAAAAATGTTAATAATTGATTTTGAAGAAAGTTTACTGATGTTTGTTAATTAATAATTTGACTTCGGATAATTGATATATTTGAAATATTGTATGAACTTATAAACCGAGAAAAAGATCAATTAAAAAAGAAAAAAGTCTATGTAATGAGTTAGCTAATCATTTACCGAACTTAAAAAGCAAACGTAATGACAATGCTGATAAAGTTTCGTAGTAAAGTCACGAAGCTCATTAAAGAATGAATTTTGAGTAACTGCGTCACAAAAATGGAAAAAAAAATAGTTTTATGACAAATGCTTCGAACTAGATAAAAATTTATTTATTATTTTGACTATTATAAACTTTATTAAATTAAAAAAGACGGAAGTAATTATCTAGGTAAAGATTAATTCAAGTAATTACAACAAAATAACATAGACAGAATAGGAAGTTTTAAAACTAACAGAAGTTAATTATTTAATCGTATGAAACTGATGATGGCCTTTATGATCTATGTAAATATCAATTAAATTTAAATTTAATATTTGAAAATAATAAACTTACTTTAATTAAAAGTTGATAAATAATTTAAAGTTCGGGTTAATTAAATCTCCAGAGAGAAATAAACTTACTCGAGAATAAATCTTTTCTTTGCTTAGGTTCTGTAGCATATATAATCATTTTCGTTTGGTTTATTTTCACTACAGTATATAACAATTAAAATGAATTTAAATCATAATATTGGTAAAATAATATTTGACAATAATAATATTACCCTAAAGTGATAGGTTTATTATATAAAATTAATATGTAATTAATAATGAACTTTTGAGTGGAATCAAAGGTATTAATAAAATTAAAAGGAGCAAATGATTTGATTTCGTTGTGTATTCATTTTGTAAATTATATAAATTTTGAAGATTTAAAGTGATTTAATGTATAGAGAAGTTATTTTCATTATTACTAAAAGCAAAAAAGTATAAAGCATTGATTGGTAATCACAAATAAGTAATTTCTTAAAATTACGTATCAAAAATTATACGTATTTTGATTTAGAATATAAATATATAGTTCTATATTCGTTCCAGGTCACTCTAATTTGGGAACTCAACTTCGTATTTATAAAATGAATAGAAAAGAAAGAATTTATTTATAGTTCTTATTCATACTAGATGACGTCATTTATCTGATTTTAGAATTTTTAAAATGAATGATATTAGATAAGCTTAAGCAAAATTTATTTTAAATACGCGGCTCTACCGTACCGGATTATTCATAAACTGGCCAAATTGTATTTTATTTCAATGCCTTTTATTGATCATTTAATAACATTCGATAAATAGTAGCTAGGTTGTATTGCGTCATAGAGTTTGGTAAAGTTGGTAAGCTGATTGGTTATTTAAGTATGTGAGTAATTAAGAGTACTGTATAAGGAGAGGAGTTTGGTAACGAGATTGACAAACTAGTTATTACAAAATATGTTGATTTTCGATTTCCCTAAGGTGTTTAAAATGTTTTTCTTTGTAAAAATTGTATAATCTTAATTAATCCTTTTTTCTAATTCTTTGATTTTTACTTATTAATGGGTGATTTATTTTGCTGACTAAACTTGGTTTTTAAATCATTAATGATTTCTGTTTCCTTTTCTCGCTCTCTAATCGTTTCCTCTAAAACAATTAATAATTTCTTTGCTTAGATTTTACTGCCTCTTCTCGCTTTTTATTCTTTTCTTGAGCTGAGATCTTAACTTTGACAAATTCTCCCTTTTAGTTACCAAATCGAAATTTTGCCTCAGGGTTTGGAATCGATTATATCAAAATCGAATTAATCGAAAAATCGAATCTAATTAATAGTGACACAGTAATTGCAACCCTAGAGCAAATAAACCCGTAAAAAAAAATCAAAGAAAGATAAAAATAAGGAAATTTGCCTTAATTACTTTTTGTAACGATTCAAGATAAAATATGAAACTAAAATGGGTACAATGAAGTTAAAGAGCAGAAGGTTAAAATGTTCGATTGCTGCTGCCTGAAATGATCTTAACTGAAATATTTATTTAATTAACTTACCCCGAAGTTGAAAGTGTAAAAATTAATGAGAAAAAAACAAAAAAAAACAATTAAGAAAAATCCAATATGATGAAAACTCTTATCCTATTTGCAACGAGAGATCGAACACAAAAAAAAAAGAAATTTAAGATGAATAACATAAAGCCAAGCCAAACCTTATGAAAATAAAAATTTGATAAACAGATTGTTCATGTTCAAAAATCGTTTCACTATGAATAAATTGAATTGAATCAATAAATTGTAACAAAAAATTGATTAAAACTCGAGAAACGATTAATCGTTATCAATCATGTTTAAATCGATTTCAAATTTTAAATATTTTCAATCCTATCTTGCCTTATCTTTGATTCTGCCCCGCTAATAATTCTTAAGTTTAATTTCCAAACCTTTCATGTTGTTTATTTAAGTCATTAGATTGGTCTTTATCATACCTTTTTTGGAATGATCGTTCATAATAAACTTGGCTTAATAAGTGTGCGCCAAGTAAAACCGGCTATTTTTAAATAAATATGAAATTTTATTACGAAATGAGAACATAAAAATTATCAGAATTCTTTTCTGTGGTGGTATTAAAGTGCTGGTAGAAAAATCACTTTATTTTCTTATATTTTTGTGTTTCAGACCTTTTATCATGAAAAGACAATAAGTAAAGAATTTTAACAAGATGATAGCATTCCTTTTATTTTTGTTATAAAATAAAGATTTACATAGAAATAAATATATTCTATTAGGAAAAGATGATCGTATCACAAAAAATTGGCAAAACCAAAGTGAATTATAATTTTGCATGCTGAATGTTTGTTAATTCAAAGAAATGAACTAATATACAAAATGTGAGATATATAAAAAAAAAAGTACAAAATGTTAACCAAAAAACAATCTCATACATCATTGCTTTAATTCGTTATTGCAACCCATCCAAGCCTTGATTTTTTTTCTAAATGTTATTGCTACCATGATTAAAAAAGCAGATGCAGAGATCCCTCCAAAGATAGATAAACCCCATGTCAATTTATAGGATTTCGAGTGACTCGGGGTGGATTCGTTGGGGGGTTTGGATTTTTGTTTTTTATCCGGTTCAGGTACATCAACATCAATATCAGAATTCGGAGGTTTACCATTATCAAATCTTCCAAGGGAGGCGGTAACACAACCTATTCTTTCATTTTCATCTAACTTTGTTACAGATAATTCCACATGAACGTTCTTCGACTTAACAACTGTCCGCATATGTTATACTGTTATTGTTAATCTCTGTAATCTTTAATGGAAAATGAAAATGGAATAATGCAAAGTACCTAAATTTCTAACTTCTAATATAGTGGTTCTGATCGTCACTATTGGTACATCTTCAATTTGACAGCTCGGATTGATCACGATTCCATCATTCGTACAAGTTTGTTGGAAAGTATCATTTATCTTATAATCATCATAAATCCTGGAATGGAATTGTAAATGTTCGGTTTTTAGATTCTTGGAGGTCACTTCATCGGCAAAGTTCACTCCTCTGGCAAAGAAAATGATGACATTTTCCAACTCGGAGTAATAAACATCAAAACTCGAAAATATTAGTTGACTATGAATAATACAGTCCTCTTCGTGTAAAGTTGGAATCTTTATGCTCTTTGGCCTCGGAATTGGCAAAACTTCCATTACGTAAAACGATAACAGAATTATGGCATAAAAATTTGTAAAAATCTTGGACATGTTTTGCATAAATCTACATCAAAGAAAATTTTTTTTTTTTCGTGGTTGGGAAATTATTTATTCAACAAACTTGTTTGAAGCTGGTTATAGTTACACGGGAAATATAAATTTAAAAAGTTATTGTTCTATAAATAACTTTGATACCTTTTTGGTTAAATTATGTAATAACTAAAATGAACACAAAAGTATCTTCTCATCTAAAAAAGCATATTTTTATTAACATAGCAATAAATAGAAAAGATCATTGTCAGCACAGCATCTCCTTAATTGCTAATTGTTTACAAAGAAAATAATAATGATCGTCACGGTATTTTTTTTTTTACAACGGGGTCATTATATTAAAATATATTCGTTCGTACCATTACATTAAATTATGTAAAAATTAATGATAAGTAGCTATTGATTTTTCAGAACGACCAATCGAACTGCTTATGCGCACGAGACTAAAATTATTTACCTAATTACAATAGGTAATCATGTCGAGAAAAAGTTTATTAGGGAATTTGTCCATCACTCGAAAAAGAAAATTAAAAATTAAAAAAAAAATGCCCAAACTGTAAAAAAAAAAAAAAAAAAAAAAAAAAAAAAAAAAAAAAAAAAAAAAAAAAAAAAAAAAAAAAAAAAAAAAAAAAAAACAAAAAAAAAAAAAAAAAAAAAAAAAAAAAAAAAAAAAAAAAAAAAAGAAAAGATGTTAAAAAAATTCTGAATTAATTGAATCTTTACCGAAGTTATAATTCAAAAGGAAAAATTAAAATTAAAAATTAAAAAATTAAAATAAAAATAATAATAGATCAATAACAAGAAACTTAATCCAAAAAATCAGAATAAGTTATATAAATTATCTATATAAATTTTATAAATGAATTTACCTTTTGTTTTTTACTATTTACAATCTAATCTAAAATTTATTAAAAATCTTTTTCCTTTTCCTTTTTTTTATTTTATTTGAATAAATAATAATTATTGATATTTATCATTATATTCATTCGCAAATTTTTTTACATATCTACTTTTATTAAAATCGAATTAATTTTATTTTCTTAGAATACAAATTATTTATTTTTTTATATGTCTAATTGGAAGTATTGGAGTACAATAAGTAACATAAAATTATTTGAAATATTTGTTATGTGAAAGTATACTATATTTATACTTCTGTTAATCTCTTTTATAATCAATAGAACTCTTATAATTACTTCTGAGGCAATAGCTTGAAAAATTTAGCTTCAAGTGATTTCATTAATATTCTATGTTTAAATAACGATATTACTATTTAAATATTTATTATCCATTAAGCTGATTCGTGTAGAAAAGTTTGATGTGGATGGTTTGCTATTAATCAAGTTAAGAATACATTTGATTTGTGAAATTTTAATAGCAAACCACCCGTTAATAATGGTTTACTCGGGAAGAAATGTTCGCTACTGCAATATTTGTCAATGACGTGAAACAACGAAACGAACAAATATATATACTGCATATCACGAATTTTTTATTAGTTTAAAATTATTTAATTACATGATTTTCGCATTTTGTAATTAAAAATAATCATATAAGTCTAGCAAGTCTTACAATTGCAAAACCGATATATCTCTATCTATTCCATTCCTTTAAACCAGTTGTCTTCTAGCGCACCAGATGCAGTCGGTCTTTCAGCAGGATTTTGACGTAATAATTTATCACGAAATATTCTAGCACTTTCAGAAAGCTGGATACGAATTCTACAATCATCAAAAAGGTTTCCAATCATCCAGATATCACCTGATACTTGACATAAATCCTCTCTACCTCTATATTCCGGAGCTGTAATATTTAATGTAGGTGGTCTGTAACAAAGTAGTATAACAATTAATTAATAATTTTAATTTACGATCAAAAAGTTAGTTCATTAATCTATCATTATTATACCTTAGGTTACCTCTTCCAATAGGAGCAGCTTCTTCGAAGTCTATTAATATCCAACCATCATTTGTAAGTCTTAAGATGTTGTCCCAGCGAATGTCACGATGAACAATTCTATTTGCATGAAGGTTATTCACAACATTAAGCACATCCAATATGGCGTCTCTCAGCTCATTTTCATCTTTAGGAATTGTCAAATATCCAACTGGTGTAAATTTTAAATATATCCATTTAACATAAAACTTCGATTGAAGTACCACATATTTCCCTCCTAAATTTGGAAAAATCCTAGTATAAAAATTTTCGAAGAAATCTTTATAATAAGGTCCTCTATCCTCTATATGTACTTTTTTAATGATTTTTTGGGGGGTTATTGTGATGGTGGTGTCATTTTTTCGTCGTATTACTTCAAATAATTTTATCTTTGGAACTTGTAAATACTGTTCGCAATTCCAAGTCTGAATAATCCGAACAAAATTGATTATATATTGAAGTGCCTTATAGTTATTTAATCGATTTGTAGTTCCAAGGTCTATGATGTCGCCAATTTTCACACGTTCTGGTTTATAATTTCCGGGATAATAATAATAAAATTGCAAGGATGTACCAGCTGCCGCAAAAGCCATGACAAATGGCAACCTACCAAAGGCGAGTGGATTCCAATAGTCAAAGTATCCATCTAATTGTGTTTCTGCAGCTTCTAACTTAGTGTTAATGTCTTTTGCCTCGCCCATCATTACAAGTACTCTATTATAATATACCGCGATATCTGGTCGATATCTCTTATTTTCTGTCGTAGTAGTTGAAGATTGGATTGCCTGGTTACGATCCAAACTCATATTACTACAACCACGTGCATATTCTTGGATAAGTTCAATGAGAATATTAATATGCGAATCAATGTTTCCCATAGTTATTCCTTCTTTACCTGGTCCTTCCTTAAAGTTCCTACTCATAACAACAGCAACAATAGCACTTAATCTAGAAGAATAAATAGGACTTGAAAATAAGGATTCAAGCACATTAGGATCAACAACTAAATCGGGGAGACATGGCAATTTAAGTAGTAATGGTTTGGAAAGCAACTGTTCAACATTATCACGACTAACTTCCTCATTAAAGGGACGCAAGAGCTCATCAAAAAATTTTGTTGTATTATCTAATATAGAATTATATGTAAAATAATGAATTGGTAAAGGAAAAAATAAGATTTTAGTTGTTAAACATTAAAGCTTCATCAAAGTTACATCTAAAACTAATATATCTTACCTACGAGCTTTATCCTATTGTTTGCAAATTCAGTTGGCAGTTGTATAATAATACGAATATTCGTATTATTGGGTATTTCATCAAAAAAAATGTAGTCTTCGTCCTCTTTAAAATATGATTCAACCATTCTTACTGGAAGCAACTCCTGTTGATTTTTGATATTATCCGCAAGTATTTTACTTCCCGGATCTGTGTCATCATTAACAGGAATATCCACCTTAAATAGAATCAGTTTATATGCACCTTCAAAGTCATTGCTTATTTCCTTCCAAATATCTTTCCTGAGGTCGGAAACAGTCTTGTTTTTATTGGTTCTAACCAAAAAAGCGTTCCTAATAGCGTCCCCTAGAATGAGACAAAATAACATGATGTCGTTATGTCTGAAAGAAAAGATTTAAGAATGAGATTTGGAAAGTGTGCTACTGACACGAAGGAGTTAAAGATTTGAGAATTAAAATTTCACGCGTTATATATATAGTATATACCGTCATAACAAAACAGCGTCATACATACTATTACTTATTTTGATTATAAATACCTTTTTGCATACATCATAGTTCAATAGATTCTTTTAATCTCCGAATCACGAGTATTGATAAAAACTAAAAAAAATTACGTAACGATAATGTTTCAAAATTTTTTTTTTTTTTACAGAACAAGTTTAAATTGAGCATATGAATTTTCTTATTCTTTATATAAATTAGCGAGCTTATTTGGGATTTTTGCTATTAAATCGAGTTACGAACATAGTAAATCATATGATCCGTAACGTGACTAGTGTTACAATAGATCATCATTTACGAATGACGTGAAAATATTGAAAATGTCGATAATGTCAAAAATGTCTTATATAAATTATATGTGCTAAAATAATTATACTAGTATTCGCTTTTATATTTGTTTTATTATATATTTTTATTAAATTTTTTATAATTGTTATTTTTGATATATTCGTTATGTTTGATATATTTATTTTATTTATTTTTAAATTAGTATTTAGAAATTCTGTATATAAACCCTGAAATCAGCTTTGTTCAAAAAAAAAAGAAGGATGACGAGTCTTGAGAAGAAACGTCCGAAATCTTGAGTTAATAAAATTCCAAGTTACACTTTCAAACTTTATCGTGTCTCCATATAAACTGTAAATAGTTGTATAAATCTTTCTTAGAACGGGATTTAATCGAATCGTTGTTTGGTTAACCTGATTTCGGTTTAGAATCGGGCTAACACCGGATCTAACCGGTTGAATCTAATTAATATCTAGGTGACATTTTGTTTTTCAAATTTCAAACTGGATATCCGATAATCCATATTGATAACGGATATCCGTTATTAACGGTTTACTGGTCTGAACACTATTTTGCATAGATTATATTTATAAAAATATTCAGATGTATATAATAGATCTGTTGGTATTAGTCTTTAAATTTTTTATAATATCTATAAATCTAATTAATAATAAAGTAAAGTGATATATTTTACGTAAAAAATCCTTACAAAATAAAAAAGACCATCACCAAATAATATTGACCCATCAAGGTAACATTTTTGAATTTTAGTATAAGACTATTCTTTAAATAGTCACGTTAAGATATTACTGAAAAAATTAACCTATACACATTTTCTAGGAAAAAGAAAATTTAATTAAGAAATATCAAATACAATTCAATTGAAATCATTGTGATTACTGGAATTACGCACGCTATACTGTTCAAGCGGATATGATCTAGAATAAATAAGGAGGATCATATCTATTTTTCATAATTAAATTCTTT